AATAGATTTTGGTTTGACTGTATCTATTTGATAAATGAAGTTAACCAACTAACATTATACATACTCTTTTGGTTTCTGTACCCAATATTTAAAAAATTTACAAATGCAATAAAAATATCGGTATCGGTACTCGGTATCGGCAAGTACCAAAAATAAAAGTATCGGTATCGGGCGAGTACTGGAAAAAGTGGTATCGGTGCATCCCTAGTCTCTATGTGTGTCAATGACATACTGTCTACCTGTCGCACTCTCCTGTGTCCTGTAGGGGGAGACACTGGACTGACGACAGCAATGAGATCATCTTCATTAACATCTGGGTAAAACACACACTGTGAAGTTTTGGGAGCGACAGCCGCATTAACAGTCTGAGATCAGAAGGAAACAGACTGTGCATTTCACAGATTTTATTTTTAGTTCTATTTTGTCTTTTGTTTTAATGACAGCAGCATGGCAGCTACATGAACAAAACCTGATGATCATGTTTTCCAGAATCAGAAGTCTGATCTCAGTCACTCAATAAATATTAGGTTTCTTTGTTTTGAATTCTCAAAAATCCAAAAACTTTGTGCATTTTCATGTTTAAATGAAAACAATCCCAGATTTCCAACATGCTCTCATATGGTGTATCCAAATAATCAATGTTGTTATATTTTCCTTGATTTTCATATCCATGTATTCATTTTTGATTTATTACTTATTGATTCATGATTCTTATTTTAATCAAGTTCAAGTTAAATTTTATTAGTCACATACACAATCATACACAGTACGACGTAGTGAAATGTTTGGTACGACTCTCCACACAGAATGCAATAGACTATATATTAAAATAAATATTATAAAAGTAGTAATAAGGAGAGAAAGAAAAGAAAAGAAAAACTGTATCCTAAGAAATACTGTAGGTTGAATAGTGAATAGAATTACAAAATACTATAAGAAGAAATTAAACTAAGAAATTAACAATAAAGAATATAAATAAAGAGAATATACAGATTACTAAAATTACAGCAAAAAAAATAAAATAAATTTAACCAAGTAAAAAGATAGAGAACATATGTACAAAAATATGTGAATGAGTACATCTCTGAGTACAGAGATGGTAACAGCAACAATCTGACAGTATGTGTATGTGCAGTAAAGTGCAATTATGCTTGTGCAGTCTGTAATAATAAAAGAAGTATAATGTTAATATGGTGTTGTATAGTGCAACTTAGGGTTAGGGTGCATTGTCCTGGTTCAGGACACGGATAGTCTGTGTGAAGAAGCTTTTCCTCATTCTCTCAGTTTTAGTCATCATGGAGCGAAAGCGTTTCCCTAACGTCAACAGAGAAAAGAGACCATTGTTAGGATGGCTGAGGTCCTTCATGATCTTCCTGGCTTTGGTACAGCATCGTTTGCTGTAGATGGATTCCAGGTCAGGGAGTTCAATGCGAATAATGCGCTCAGCTGATCGCACCACCCTCTGTAGGGCCCATCTGTCCTGCTTTGTGCTGTTCCTGAACCAGGCTGTGATGTTTCCTGTCAGGATATTCTCAATAGTGCAGGTATAGGAAATTTTTAGCACTTTGGTGGACAATTTAAAGTCTTTTAAGTGCCTAAGGTGGCAAAGATGCTGACGGGCTTTCTTCACCAAGGTGGTGATATGATTTGTCCATGACAGTTTATGTGAGATGTGGACTCCAAGGTAACAAAAGCTATCTACTCTCTCCACAAAAGCCCCATTGATCATAGTGGGTTGGTAGCTCCTCACCTGTTTTGTGCTGAAGTCCACTATCAGCTCCTTTGTCTTGCTGACATTCAGAAGGAGGTTGTTCTCCTGACACCAGTCCTCCAGTCTTTTAATCTCCTGCAGATAAGCTCTCTCATCATTATCAGAGATCAAGCCTTTTTAGCACTTTGGTGGACAATTTAAAGTCTTTCAAGCACCTAAGGTGGTAAAGACGCTGACGGGCTTTCTTCACCAAGGTGGTGATATGATTTGTCCATGACAGGTTATGTGAGATGTGGACTCCAAGGTAACAAAAGCTATCTACTCTCTCCACAAAAGCCCCATTGATCATAGTGGGTTGGTAGCTCCTCACCTGTTTTGTGCTGAAGTCCACTATCAGCTCCTTTGTCTTGCTGACATTCAGAAGGAGGTTGTTCTCCTGACACCAGTCCTCCAGTCTTTTAATCTCCTGCAGATAAGCTCTCTCATCATTATCAGAGATCAAGCCTACCACAACAGTATCGTCAGCAAACTTGACGATGGTAGTGGAATCTGAAGTGGCAACACAGTCATATGTGTACAGCGAGTACAACAAAGGGCTTAGAACACACCCCTGGGGTGCTCCTGTGCTGAGGGTGAGTGAGGATGAGATCTGTCTGCCCACCCTTACTGCTTGTGGCCTGTCAGATAGAAAGTTGTTGATCCACTGACGCAGGGTTGGGCTGAATCCTAGGTTCTCCAGCTTTAATGTTTTTTTTGTGGGAATAATAGTGTTAAAAGCTGAACTGTAATCAACACACAGCATTTTAACATAATTCCCCCTCCTCTTGTCCAGATGATCTAAGGCTGTGTGGAGGAGATGTGTAATGGCATCATCAGTTCAGCGGTTTGGACGATAGGCAAACTGTAAGGAATCTAGGGTGTCAGGTAGCATGGAGGTGATGAAATTTCTAACAAGTCTTTCAAAACACTTCATCACAATTGAGGTCAATGCTACAGGGTGATAGTCATTAAGACAGGAGGGTTGGGATTTCTTAGGGATAGGAACAATGATGGACTGTTTGAAGCATGTGGGAATTTCCGACTGATCCAGGGAGAGATTGAATATCTCAGTGAACACTGGTGCTAGCTGGTCTGCATAAGCTCGAAGAACCCGACCTGAGATTCCATCTAGTCCTGCTGCCTTCCTTATGTTCACTCTCTGGAAAACCCTTCTCACTTCACCCTCTGTGATGATGAACGCCTTTCCTGCATGTGTGCTCTCCGCCTGCATGCAGTCTTTGTTCTTATTTGCGCCAACAGCACCGTTAGCACAGTGATATGCAGCCTCAAAACGAGCTTGAAATGTATTTAGCTCATCTGCAAGAGAAGCGTCAGTCTTCGCAATCACGTGGGCTGGTGTTTTATAGTCCATTATCGTTCTCAGTCCTAACCACAACCTTCTAGAGTCGCCTTGAAGAAACTGTGACTCTACTTCCTTCCCGTAGCGCCACTTTGTATCCTTATCATATATTCATATTCAAGTATTTACTCATTACTGTTACTCATGTATGTTTATCTTTTATTTTGTTTGATGTGTGTTCATAAGTAATATTCATAGTATTCTCCAAAAATATGTATGTTATGCACATGTTATATATGTTTGAAAGTAACAACACCAGTTTGGAAGGACGTGACTTTCCTGCATATATATTCCTTGTGCCTACTTTTCTTGCCTACTCTTCTCTTTTACTCTTTACTCTTTCTTCTCCTTCTTTCCTCTGTTTCTTTTGCTTTTCCCCTCTACTCATATTCTGCATATATCGTACTTCTTTTGGGATTTTCTTCTAATATTCATTACTTCATCCCTTAGATACAATAATTTGGAATACTCTGCACTTTAGTACAAATTATTGAATAAGATAAATTAATTTTGCTGTAAACTTCCTTCCTATTATAATTTCATATTTACTCTATTCTTTTTTTTTTATTTAATAATTTTTGATAAAATTGATCCCTGACATAATCATTAATCTTCAGCCTGGATCTCACTGCATCACATATGTTTGCTTAAGTGAAATGTATCATTCTTTGACTATACTTTGACAAATTATTTAGTGATACTAGAGGAACGATTTGTGATATCTCAGCAGAAACGCTACCTGTAAATATTTTTACATATTCAGATCTAGATATATTTGATATTGTCATAGTTATTATAGTCATAACAGAAAGACTTTCTGTAAAGCTGTTCTGAAACCATGTGTCGAATGTTAGCAGTCAAACACTTATCAGCATAAAGCAATTACATGGATTTAGAGAAAGTTCAGCTGTCACTCAATGAGATTTCTGGGAGACGTGTGTGTGTGAGTGTGTGTGTGTGAGGTCGCCGTGATTTTGCCAAGTAAGACATGTTCATGGATTAACATCTTTTGTTGATCCTGGATCAACATTACTGTACAAAAATATAGACTTAACCCAATCCTTACCCCTAAACCTAACCCTACCCATAATTTATTCCTAAAATCAGTGTGAAATGATTTCTGTATTCAAAATTTTATATTTAAAACAATAATCTCCACATGAATTTATGACTTTAATTGCACTCATGCCACCACTGAGCCACGTTGAACGTCTGAAAATGTACCTACAAGCCACTTTTGTGTTCTTCTGTGCCACCTCTGTAGTACAAATTAATTTTTCATT